TTTGGGTTATTTGATTGTCTGGAACTTCAGCCTTATGATGGGTTAGGGAAAAGATGGAAGTTTAAAGTTAGGCCTGTTCTAACAACAGTTTTTTTTTTTTTAAGGTAAAGCAAGTACCATCCTAGTCATACTTGACTTAGCAGCAAGGTTGGCCTCTGATGAAATCAGCCTTTCTTTCCATTTAACTGTTCCTGCCAGTCAGTCCTCTGATTTCTTGGATTTTTTTCTACTTTATCCTTTGAAAGAAAAGTTCTTTCTTATTAAAATCACTAAAAATATACCTGATTTGGCACTAATGTGGCAAATTCAGAACTTATGGGGAATGACAAATTTTAGAATTTCAAACATCAGACAAGGTAAAGGAGAGGTATCTGAGGCAGGAGTCAGGGCATCTACCCAGAAATCACCCGTTCCGTGTCCGGCGTGGGCTTCTGAAAGGATTCAACAGATTGGTGTTATTGTATGTATTATTTTACAGCAAGACAGTGGAACCCATAAAGCAAAAAAGACTTACGAAATCACACATACTAAAGGAACCTAAATGCATATCTTTTGTCTTTGAATGTTTTAACACATTGATTGCCACGTCACCGAAATCTGGGTGACAGCTGTGTCCTCGGGGGCACCCGATCCATAGTGGGTGATCAACATGTCAAAACAACATACAAGTTCTAGTCTGTTCTATCATCCTCAAATGTTTGGGCATTGATGCTTTTTTCTCTAAGAACTTATCTTTGTAATATAGAAAGTAAATTAATATGCAAACTATTTGGAAAACCGAGGAAATATACCTATTAATTACTTCTCTGTTTACATATTTTTCTCTTCAAAAAGTATATGTAAATGCAGGTATCACAGCGAAGCTGCATGTGGTCTAATGCCTTTATTATAGTTCAGTGACAATGAGTTGGGATAGACATTTAACTTTATAAAGTTTATTAGTTTTTTAAGGGAAATGCATGTAATTTTGCAAGATTTTGAATAGATAAGGTTTTCAGTTTAGTTTCACATGAGCTTACAAGAATTCTTAAAGTATTCCCTGAACTATCTTGAATAGTTCTTGTTAAACAGCCTCACATGACATTGTAAGGCTGAAGATATTAATAATGTTTAATTAATGTTCCCCTTCTTGTGAGAAGTGGGTTGAATCATCATAGAAAAAAAAATGGGAAAATTTAGCACCTTAGTTAAAAAAAAAAGGTAGAGATTAAATATTAGAGACTATTACTACCCAGAGGAAGTAGAAACATCTAAAATACTATTCAGATATTAATGATAATTAGTCTGTTTACAAATATGAAATGCCATCAGTTTGTTTTTGTTTTAATTTTTCAATAACTGGGAGATACAACCGAGCAGAGAGACAAGAGCTCAGGAAAAGAGTTGAACTTAACTATTAAATTTGGGGGGGGTAGTTCATTCTTACTTGGGGGGTTTACAAGTCTACCTGAGGCCCTTATTTCTAGGTTTCCTTATGTATCGCCCCCCTCTGGCGCTCAGGAGTTCACGTGCTGCATCCTTAGGGAAGCCTGTCCTGGCCACGCGCTCTATCGGCCTCGCTCCCGCGTTCCTGCCGCCCGGACCGCCCTCCTCCCCGTGTCCCTCTCCTCGACTAAACTGTGGGCTCTGTGGGTGGAGCCCTTGCCTTGACTGTTCCTCCCTGTGTTGCCAAGCTTATGAAAAAGAAACGATTGTATTCGTCCACTTGCAAAACATTCTATAACATACTCTCGGTTGTTTTTATCAGATGAAAAACAGCGCTTCACTTACGAGCGGTCAGGATATGATCTGGAAGAATCGGATGGCCCCGACGAGGAGGATAACGAGAATGAGGATGAGGATGAGGACAGCCAGGCCGAGTCGGTCCTGTCCGCCGCCCCCTCCGCCACCGCCAGCCCGCAGCACCTGCCAGCGAGAAGCAGCCCTCAGGACCCTGGGGGTGCGGACGAGGACGGCAGGATTCCCGAGTGCTTTCCGGGGGGACACACGGACCCGATGGACGTGCTGCCCAGGGCGCTGCCCACCAAGATGACCGTGCTGAGTGCCGTGCGGTCCGACCACGGCAGGAAGACAGGGTCCCCGGAGAGGAGCGGGCAGCAGGCTGCGGGAGACGAGGAGGCGGCGGCCACTCCCGCCGACTCTGCCAGGTCACCTGAGGCTGCGCCCCGGTCCCCATGTCACCAGATGTCTGTAGACTACCCTGAATCCGAAGAGATCCCAAGGAGTTCTGTGGCAGGAGAGGTTATTGCTTTAACACAGGTAATACAGTGGGTGGTTGTGGTTTTCCTTTTGTTTAACCTATGAAATATGGAGAACCTAATGGCTTAAGAAAATAATGTACTTAAGTTACTCATTTATAGCTAAGTCCATTTCTTTAACCTGATTTTTTTGTTCTATTTAAGGCTAAAGGACATTTGTCCTTTGGATTCTTGTTAGGTATTTTAGTCAAGAGTTCACACATTTTAAATCTGAAAGAACCAAATGGATCTTTCAACATACTCATTTATCATTACTTGCATTTTTAAGGAAAAGCCTTGCCATAAAAGATGTGTATGTGCCAGTGGAGAACATGTCTTGGGACCTGTGTATTCCATGGCTTACTCTGCGTTCTCCCACTGGCACTGGTGTGATAGATTTGTACTAAATGGTCCCAACATTTTGCATTTGCCTCTGTTGGCAAGGCAGCTACCAGTTTCCGTGGCAAAGTTAATGTGAACCCAAAAACGTATGGAGAAGTTCACTTTGCTTAAATGATCCAATCGCTGTGGCAGCTTAAGAAAGCTTCCAGCCCAAGAACTAGCTCAGGGCCAGACTCAGGCCTCGGGAAAGTCACCCTCCTGTGAGCTGAGAATGATTTCCTGCTTTTACAAACCGTGGTGGAATCCAGGGAATTCTGTGAGGAATCCATTCGGTTCATTCTTCCCTCTCACTGATAGGTCTCTCACCTGTGTGGACTGATGATCACAATGGGATTTATTTCTAAACGTGACAGAACTGGGTTTGCTGGGTGCCACTGCTGAAAAAGACTGTGAAAGTCTGGATTCCTATAGACTATCCTACATTAATATAACAAATTATATACATATTTAAATTATATTCATATTTAAATTAACATACATATATAGCTCCTATAATATAGATACTATCACAGAAGAGAGCTAATATTTAAATGATAATCTTAGGTGGAAGGGAAGATTGGTAATATTTATCCCTTCTAATACCATTTCATTACCGTCATACTAGTCACCTGTGCCCTAAGCATCTCTTAACCCCAAATCTCTCACACCTGCCAGGGTCATAAATCTGGTTTTCAGTAGACATTTCATACACTTACGAATGAATGAAGGAACAAAGAAAACTGCAGACAGACCTTTTCATTAATGACAACTCTTTACTGCATAAATGAATAAGCTTCCAGTTAATTTTTCCCCCAAGTGAACACTCACTAGCCAACTAATATTTCAAAATTTCTCAGTAACTCCTGATTTCCAAAAAAGAGTGGAATGGTGGTGCCCGCAATAACAATGATGGAAGAATGTAATTATGGCCACCTCTCAGTTCGTTTTAGTATAAATGATACGCTATCCAGGAAATATGTTTGAAAAATGTAAACTACTGTACAAAATTTGTTGCTGTTATTTGTACTAGAAAAGTAAAGGTGGAAAGGTGTAATAGGGTTTTAGTTGGAAATTTACTTTTTAATCAAGATAATTTTTAGCAAGCTTATAATTCCCATAAAAATTTATAAATGTACATACTTTTACCTCAGAAGGCAGACTTCACAGGAGCTAAAAAAGGATTCTTCCGTCTTGTCTTTTAGAGCCCATCATCTCCGAGGCCGCCGCCTCCTGCAGCCCAGCGCAGCCCCCAGACGGGAGGGGGGCCTCCTCCAGCCTCCTCGCCGCAGCCCGCGCCTCCAGCGCAGAAGCTCCCAGGAACGCTCCATCCGCCACCAGGCCTGCCTTCTCCCCAGACCCATCTGTTCAGCCACCTTCCTTTACATTCCCAGCAGCAGTCCAGGACTCCTTACAACCTGGTCCCCGTTGGGGGAATCCAGGTGGTCCCTGCTGGCCTCACATACTCCACCTTCGTCCCCATCCAGGCGGGGCCCATGCAACTGACGATTCCTGCTGTCAACGTCATTCACAGAACCGTGGGCCCCCCTGGGGACCTGGCCGCAGAAGTTTCTGGCACCACAGAACCCGCCGGAGTGACTGAATTAAGCAGCGTCCTGCCCTGTATTCCCATCGGCCAGATCCGCGTTCCAGGCCTGCAGCCCCTGAGCATGGAAACCGTCAACCTGGTGGGCGCCCGGCCGCCCGGCATCGCCCTGAAGGCCGTGGGGCTGCAGGTGCTGACCGCCGACCCCTGCGGCCAGGGCAGCCCCGGCCCCCCGGCTCCCGTCCCCGGCCTCCAGATCCTCAACATAGCCTTGCCCGCGCTGATCCCCTCGGTCGGCCGGGTCCCCGTGGACACCCTCGAAACGCCCGCTACCCAAAACCGAGCGCGGGAGGCGCAGCCCCAGCAGCCGCCCGCGGCCGGTGCGCAGCAGGGAGGCAGGACCACGTCGCCGCAGGGCTCACCGCGAGTCCGCCGGGAAAACGCCAAGAAGGTTCTCGATCTGCCGGCCCCCGCCGGAGACCACTCCAGGCTCGAGAGCTCCAGTCAGAGGGGCACGGGGAAGACTGGCCCCGTGAACCACGTGACGCCCCAGCACGAACCCCCCTCCCGGCCCGGCCAACCGACCTCGGCGCCCCCGCCGGCCCTCCCCCTGGACAACGGGCGCCGCGGCCCCCGCGCCCCGACCCGCAGGCAGGCGGCCCCGCAGCTCAGCGACCTCAGCAGTGACGACGACGAGGACAGGCTCGTGATCGCCACCTAGGGGCCAGGTACTGGGGGGTTGGGATGCTGGGTTTTTTTGGTTTTTTTTTACATAACACTTAAAAGGTTTCTTTGAAAACCCTCCTTCCCTTAAAGCACATTTTTCTGACAAACTCATGACTCATCTTTGTGCAATCATGAACTTTTGACCAATAATTGTCGTTTTGTGTCAGCTCCAGCCATTTTTGTACATGTTGTATAGACAATTGTGCCTTTTAGGAGTTTTATGTTTAGGAACTGTACAGATTGTTGAATATCTATATACATAAAATATATATTATATATGTACATGAAAACCAGGTAGTTATTTGTGTTTAGCAAGAGAAACCTGTCAAATAAATCAAATGATTAAATTATATGTTGCACTGTTAAATATGAATTTTTATGGCTGTGGGGCAGTTTGTGTGTAAATTAGTATGTAAACTCCGTATTTATTGTATTCATATTAGTCTTTGAAAATGGGTCTGTCCTTCTTGTGTAAGACAGTAACTTTACACTTCAGACAGATTTTCCATGTTATGAAATGTTTCAGTAAAACATTGTTTACTGACTTTACCAGTGCTTTAGCCGTGCCTTCTTTACATCATGTAGTGACCAGCAACCTGCATTCATAAAATAGCCCTAGGTTAACATTCCTTTCATGCTCACCCTCCTCCCCCATTTAGCCAGGAGACCAATTTTTCCATTTGCGAGGAATAATTCTGTAGCTGTTAAATTATTGTAAGAATCAGTACTTAAGAACACTCCGCAAGTACACACAGAATACAGCTGGAAACGGGCAAAGTTCCTAAATGTGGGTACCATGACTCTATGTTAACGAAACAACGGTCCTGAGCTTGGCTCAGGTGAGGCCCATGAAACCCGCCCTTAGGCTCCAAACTGGGTCTGTGCACGAGTCACAAGCTCCCTCTGCCCTTGTCCCACCCGGAGAGCCCTGTCCAGGTCCAAACCATAGACAGTCCACGATCCACAGAAGAACCAAGTTCAGACTTCCAATTACTTAAGGTGACTCTTGAGAAACACTGTCCTGAGAGGCTTAAATTTACTCACTCAGAAAAACGGGGAGGGAACCCGCAATTACCACTGCAGTGATGTGCATTATTATCTGAGTATTATAGATGCTAGATTTGTAGAAAAAATGTTTTACTGTTGGAATTTGAATATTTAGCACATTATTAAGGCAACGTGTTCATGTTCCTAAAGGCCTCCTTCAGGAAGATTTCAGCGGTGTGAAGTTGCTGAGATAACAGTGGGCTGGGGAAGATACCCTAAGGAATCTGGAGGCTTGCTGATAGCCAGCCCCTGCTTCAAATCTGGGACTTTGGGAAAAGTACTTGTCACCTCAGCCCATGTGCTCCAGTCTGGGGCTAAAACGTGCCCCAGCCCTAACAGGCTCTGATGGTCAATGATGCCTTTGATGCATGCTGCAATCTGCACGTACACCTTCCCACAGATTAAGTAACAAAATTCTCAAAAACAATAAAACTACATTTTATATTCTAAGATGTATTTTAAAACAATTCTGGGGCACGGAGGATATAGCTTAAGTGGTGGAATGCATATTTAGCATGCACAGGGTGCTGGGTTCAATCCGCAGTACCTCCTCTAAAAATAAATAAATAAATACACCTAATTTACCCCGCCCCCAACAAAAAGTTTAAAGAAAAAGAATTCTGGAAACTTCTATCATAGGAATTGCATTGCTCTAACAATGTAATTATTGAAAATGAGGTCCATTATCTGTCAGATTTCTCAAAGTAAGTTTTAATGTTGCATCACACCTTTTTATAATTTTAAGGCCCCAAATTTTAAAGCAGTGTAATAAACACATCCTTGTTTCCTAATCACATTTTAGGTAGATATGACGTACCTAAATTCAAAAGTAATGCTAAGATTTTGGGCACTGAGGGTTTTTTTAGTTTATATAGACAGAATTTTCTTAATTTGAAGAATTCCTCCATTTAACCTACTACATACTAAATGTGATGTATTTGGTTACTCCCTTGACAATTTCATAATGCTGTAATATAACCGTAGGCTTATTTTATACTCTTGACTTTTTAAGATTCATTACATAGTACACATATCTTTAGTATTACTAACTATAGTGCTTTCATGTGACTTTCAAATATTTTGCTAGCATTTGAAATATGCAGCTAAATCAGAAACATCAAAGTTTGTGCCATTATATTTTAAAGTAGTCACATGAACAAAATATAAGGGAGTAATTTTCAACTGTTTCTCCAAAGTTGACTTTTCCCAAGGAGCAAGTCATTCTCAAATATGACTTAACAAATTACTTACAAGTAAGCCAGAGAGCTGGGAGACTACATTTGACTTTTGTAGTACTGTCATGAAAGACCCAGGTCAGTACAGAACTAGAATTCAAGGACATAGCAAATCTCTTTTAAGTTATTGTCAAAACAGGTGAAAAACATGTGAAACAACTTTAGTATCTTCTTGTATGAATCCACTGCAATGACACCATCTGAAGTGTGGGAAATTTCAGAAGAACCAAAGGTCTTTTTTCTAGTTTTCAAAGCTAGTACATCTGTTTTATGAATATTTGTTATAAATTAACATAATTCAATGGCACTAAAGTAACTTATTTTCATTCCCTAAACTTTAAGCTACAATGATAATTATTTCAGAGATTTGATCAACTGGTAATATTTAATATAGATTTTCTTTCTTTTTTAAAAATAATACAGCCATGATTTTCCTTTCACAGAAACAGTATAAACAACACTTTTCTTAATGATCTCTGACCTGAATTTTAAATAGTGGCGCTAAATAAGGATCAGGGACGATTATTTTTTGTTGGAAGATGGTCAAGGTAGGTAACATTTCTTTCCTGACGCATGCTAAAGGCAAAATATATGCTCTTTTCTGTTTTTAATGTTACATTTTGGGATGAAGTTTGAGATGAAGTCGAGATCATTCTGAGATCAAGCACCACCTAAAAGGTAACTTTCATTGGAGTAATCTTGTTTCAAAACCATCTATAAATTCTAAACACAGGATATTAAATCTCCCTAAGACTGACTTCCCATGACTTTGGAGAATTTTCTATTTAATATTGAATGAAGGTTATTGTGTAACATCTGTAACAAATATTTTAATGACAGTAACTTCCTGCTGTCATAACCAAAAAAAAAAAATTTAAAGGATAGTGCAATATTTTTCTCTACAAATTGTAAAATCTGAAACTTCATGAGACTCTTAGAAATATCTAGAACCTTGCACACTCAAGGTACAGTGCAAGGCACTGTAGGCATAAGAATTAAAGCAGAGACACCTGCCCTTAAGTGTTCCCTGTCCTCTGAATCATGGGTAGGCTTGGCAAAGATGCTCAGGCACCCAAAACGCAACCAATTCCAATACTATGCAAGATACAGACAGAGTAAGAAGGCACACTTCCTATCCTGAAGGAGCAGGCCTGCTTAAGAGTTAGGCCACAGAGACTCAAATGAGCCCGCACACATCTTAGAAACCACAGACTATGAACATTTTGAAAGGCAGGAAAGTTATTGCCTTAATAATTAAAGAATGATTTATGTATGTTGGGGATTGCTAGATTTTTTAAGGAGATACAGGATTGGGACTTAAGAACAGAGATGATGCTAAGCAGTAGAACAAAAATAGAGTAATGAAGGTGGAAGTGAACATGTTATTTAAAATTCTGCAGGGAACAGTAAGTGGAAGAGAGAGGTTTCACTGAGATTTTCAACAAATGAGGATCAGCATCCAAGACTGGACTAACTGGAGAGATGATATGAACAGATGCTCTGGCACTTGCATTGAAAAAAACTTTTAAAAGGTAGCAGTTTCATGTATACGAAGTTCAGAACATGCCATCCTCATCCCTTCACAAAAGATTTTAGCAATACAGTATTTAAACCCAGATAACAGATATCCACACTCTATACCCTTATGAACAGAGCATCATGGGAGTATTCTTCCTAACTGGGATTTCTGGACTCGAAGTGTGAACAAGACAAAGGAGTCTATTTCGAGGCCACTTGGCTCCGGAGGCAGGACAACCTGGATGGTTCATCATAATAGCTAAGAAGGCACTTAAGGAGAGTCACAGCAGCAGAAATGTAAAGAATAATTGTAATACATAATAATAGTTGTCTTTTCATCCAGTAATGGAGAGAGTTTGGGGATTATCAAAAGAGAAATCAGACTATTAGAGAAATTTCAGGTTTCTATTGATTTTTGTGTAAAACCAGAATTAACCTCACAGCAAGCAGCCAGTGGGCATTCACGGCTCACAAACTAAAACTCATATTGGTATACTGATCAGGCATCAATATTAGGAACATATTTATCTTTAAGGGAGACTGCAAGATTAAAAATGCTGGTATTCACACCAATCCTTTAAACCATGTCGGGATCAGCCGGGGGAGGGAACGTTTACCTGGTCTTCCCTCCACTGCATTCGGAAGCGAGTTCTGAAAGAGCACCGCTTCCCAGGGCTTGGCTGCTGGGGGCCTGATCTGCTCCACCAAAACACTGAGGCAGTGGCCCACCCACATTCTAGTATCAGGGAGAAGGACCAAGGGCTGTTTTTCTTAAAGTCATGAATCAAGTTTGGCTTATTTTGTAGTTTGGGCCTTTTCTAAATTAAAAAGTCCCCATGACAAATAACAAAAGTATTTCTCATTGCCCTGCTTTGGTTGTCTGAGAAGTTAGGGCTCTCGCATTCTAATGGGTTACATTAGAAATTAAGGGTTTAGGAGTGATGGTACAGCTCAGTGGCACAGCACATGCCTGGTGAGCATGAGGTCCTGGGTTCAATGCTCAGTGCCTCCATTACTGAGGTGGGGGCAAGATAAAATAAAAAATAAAAGCTTTTAAAAAAAGAATTTATTTCAGGACTCTGAAGAACTATTCTTCTAAGGCACTCAATTGTGGTAGCGATGGGGAAATGATGGAAGAACGGAAGGTTAAGGATCTAGAACATCTTAAATTTTATTTCCCCACCTCAGGCCATATACCTGAATTAGTTACACCTTTTCAGAATCAGATAATTATGAAACCTCAAATTAAAGGTGAAAATCTCTTGGCTTACAAGGAAATGATAAAGTAGTTTTCAAAATTAGGTAAATTGTCTCTAAAGGTATTCATTCATACAGATTTAAATTTTGAGATTAGACACAGTCATGCTCCATTGCTACCATGATAGTATCTGATGAATGAGTCACATTATATATAACGCAGTGTTTCTAATTTTAACAATTATGCCAAATACCATATGATGCTATCCGCATTTATGGTTGAGAAAATGTCTCAGGGTTACAAAGCTAGTTAAGGAGTGGTGCTATGATTTAAAACTCGGTCTGTTTCTTTTCTATTATACCATGCTGCTTTCAGTAATGATTTACAGTAATTAGGTCGTATTGTATTCATTTCTAGGTGAAAGTCTACTTAGTATTCATAAAACATCCCATTTAAATTTCTTACTGAAAAGAGTATGTCCAGTGCCAGGCATATTTGTATAGGTAATAGATTTTGTAACCTTTTCCTACACCCTTTCTCATAATTGATAT